ATCCCGGCCCGGGCCGCGCTCGGCGCCTCCAGCCCCGCAGCGGGACCCGCCGCCGCCCGCGCTGCTCTGGCTCCAGTTACAGCAAGAGCTGGAAAAAACCTAAAAAGTGGGAGTGGGAAAGAGCCCTGCGGCCTCTGTGCTGCAGCACCTCCCCGCTATTAATTATTTATACCTATTAATCCTATCCTTATTCATATATATTAATCGCGGCGTCACTGCACGTTTCTAAGCAGTCATTGAGGCAGCGGCAGCACTTCGGGGAGTCCCGGACGTGCAGTGAAATATTTGTGCAGCGACAGATAGGGGGTGCGACGGGACGTTGCTGTGACCAACGTCACTCGCGAGGGCCTTATGGAGAGAAGACACCACAATGCACATAAATAAATGTCATCTTTATTTAACCAAATATAATTTATCAGTTAAGTTGACATCCGTCAATTCAGTTATAGGAACTATAAATAATTAACACAGTCTTTTTCCTTTAATAAAAAGAGTAAACCAGTATTTCTTTTCATTTGCAGTCAGATGTAAAGGCATGCATTTGAGTGCAGCTAGGGGGAAAAGTTTCCATCCTTCGACATTCTGAAAATTTAAATGAGATTTTTCCCTGACCTATTTGTCCGCTCCCGCTCACACCACAGCAGGAGATTGTCCCTCTGGCACAACTGCTTCCTCGGGGTTCTCCATAGTTCTGTGGCACCTAAAGACCAGGAGCCCTTCTCACATATGAGCTTAAGTGTTAATGGAAGGAAATCCCAAATCTATCCAGGTGAGCAGGAGCGAAGACTCCAGAAGTCTCCAGGCTGGCTCTTCAGTAGGATCTGGGGCCGTGGACACGGTGCTGGTTTTTTTTAGGATTTTATTTTTGGCCAAATCAGGTTTGTGAGAGGTCAGGTCGCTGGGGGGAAGAGGATGAAGTTCAGAGCTCATGTCACGAAAGGACCCGCTGCGAAGGCAGGGAGGAAAGAAACCCTCGCGCTCCGTCGGAAAGGTGGGAAGCAGAAAGCCCCGGGAAAACGCGTCGCCTGCTCTTGTTGTGGCCCCGGCTTCTGGACGGGGTAAGAATCAGATCTCTGCCTCCCAAATCCTGCAACCGGGCAAGGCATTAAAACCAGGAATACTCAATACACATGTGTTGAAGCATGCCAGGTCTCTCCGGCAGCTTGCTAAGCAGTGGTCCCTCAGCAATGTGCTCTTGAGCAAAAGGCTGACTGCAGCTTGCTTCGGATTATCTGCTTTTCAGAACTGGTTTCCATTAATCCTGAGCTTCCTTGCCAACGTGTAAGGATTAACCCTAGAACCGGATCTCTGCATTTGGACCATCCCCAAACCCAGTCCTAATTGTTCTCGACTTGGATCTAAATGTCCGTGACTGGGATCACGGAAGGGTACGTTCAGTTCAGCTTTTTGTGGGGGTGCAGGGAAGGCAAAATTCCTAACCAAACTCTCCTGCCCTAAAAAGGGAAGGGCTGCACTCGCACAGGGCTGCAGAGCTCAGCAAGCTCTTGCACTGCCCGGAATAACAGACTCGGCTCCCAACCTTGGAGCGGAGGAGCAGCCCCAGCACCGCGCTGAGCGCAGGAGCCCGCACAACCAGCACCGGCTCCAGGGCGGCCCGGGCAAGAGGTGCAGGAGTTGACGTAAATGAAAGGGGCAAGAAACGCAGGAGTTAACCTAAATGAGGAAACGAGGCCGACAAAGCACAGCCGTGTTGTGCTAGGAGGAACAAGCTACAGAGGAAGGAGAAAACGAAGAGGAGAAGCAGCAGCCTGCAGGAAACCGCAGACTTGAGGGTGGTGCTTGGGATCTGCAGGAGGACAGGGAACAGGACAGGGCCAGAACCGCTGCCCTCGGAGCCCGAAACGCCAGGATCTAGGGCGCTGTTAACGGACCCTGCAGACACCCCAGGGCTTGGGGGATACCGGCAGCTCCCCCAGGTTTGGGCACACACGGAAAATGGTCCGTGCATTTCCCTGCCCCACGTGGAGGCCTGTGGAATGGGGCTATCCGAGTGCATCGTTTCAATGTGCTGGAGCCGAGCTCTCCCACCAACCAGACCCTCTTGCACCAAACCGCATCCCAGTCCAGCTGTGCTGCTCCCGCTTCCCAACCGGCCTCCACACTCCCATCCAGCCGGGTCCTTTCCCAACCCAACAGCCCGACCTTCCCGGCTCCGAGGTGCCTCGGGCTCAGCAGGCATCCTCAAGGCCTCTTCCCATCAGCAATGGGCCCTTCAGCAGCACGTGGCAACTGTGGAAAACACCTTAACACAGAACACAGGATGTATTTTTCCTCCTCACCCTGGACAGGTTGCCATGAAGACGGTGCCGGGCCAATTGCAGCACGAAGGAGGTTTTGTCACCCCTCAGCAACGGCTCAGGCCAGTCCTGCCCTTGAAGGGCCACCCGCTTTGGACACTGGCACAGGACGGGGATTCGGAGTGAACACAAAGAGGAGGGGGACAGAGAGGACCGGAGAAACCCCATGTCCTCATCCACGAGGTTGGGCTTTGCTCCAAGGTGCCTGTTCAGTAACACAAACCTGAACCTTCCCTCCAAGATTTAAAACACTTATGAAGCAAAAAAGCAGCCCTTGAGCTCTGGTGCTGGGGGCAGCCTGGGCTCCCCTTCAGATCAGTGTCTTCACTGTAGCCTTGGTTTGGACACAACTGCTATGAAATTGCACTTGGTGATTGTCTCTTTACACTTGTTTTTTGTCCTTCCTAAAACTAGATTTATATTCTGTACAAACTTGGCTTGAAATATAAACCACATAAAAATTCCCATTGAAAATAATGAGAATCCAGTATCAAAGGTGAAGTCTCACGAGAGACCATGGGGAGGAAGCAAAGGAGAGCAAGGGGGGAAGAAAAATGAACAAACCAAAAGAAAAGGAAAAAAAGAAAAAAAAACACTGAAGGAGAAGTGCTGTGAGAAGGAGAAGGGCAGTGAGGAGGACTAATCTCCCACGTCGGAATCCCGGTCACCAATGAGCCAGAGGATGTGGAAGCTCAGAGCAAGGAGACCTGTTCCGATCAGGTCCCCCAGTGCTGTCAGGTAGGGGATGGAGAAGTTGTCGGGGTCGAGGTCCCTGCCCCACATCCAGTGCACCATCCAGTCAGCGATGTAGAGCAGGATGAGGACCTGGGCGGCACAAAGGGGACAGTCACCAGGGCGAACCCAGAGCGGCCCGGCCCTCGTGCTGCAATTCGAGCCGAGCAGACCTGAACCCCAGCCCTGGCACTGCTGCCCGCTCGGGGCAACCCCGCTGGGTGCTACAGGCATTTAACGTGGGCTGCATCCTCAATGCAAGGCAAGGACGGCACGAGGGCCAGCGGGCAGGTTCGAGTGCTCCCATAGACCCCAAACTCCCTCCGTGGCTTCCGCAGACTCGCGCCTACCCCCTGTGCAAACGGCCTTGAGCAGAAGCCTCCTGCGAGCGCCCAGCACCAGGCAGCAGTTCACAAGCTAAATTCAGCCTCCCGGGGCTCTGCCGGGTGCTCCGACTCGCTTCCTC